TATTTCAAAGGAAGGCTGTACTGAACCTTTGTAATGCTGTTTATCCAGTTGTTCAATGTTTCTTTAGCTTCAGTTTTATCTTCGTCACAACCAGTTGGTGATCGGAAACTATGTCAGTTCCTCTCCTGGTTCTCACGTGTCCCACTGTTCTACTGAAATTTTTACTGGTGCAAATATGATCTATCTGGCTCGCCGTGGTGTGGTCCGGTTAGACACATGTAGTTTTGTTTATGCGTTTGTGTGGGAATATTGTGCCGCCTATAACCAGTTCGTTGAATGCACGTAGATTTGCGAAGCTCTCTCGATTGTCATTCCTTTTTCCTAGTCCATGTCGTCTCAAGACCATTGTTTTCCACTTCGACTTTGGTGATGAAACCCTTTCCTGGGCACTTCATTATGGTTGATTGCGATTAATCGATGCGCGCTCTTTGTATTTGACCATGATGAGGATCGGTAATCCACTCGATATTAAGTGACCTGACCGCCAGGTGATCCAACCAGGTCCCAGCAACATTTCACTGGCCCTACAAAACCTCTGTTAATTGGAATACGGAGAAAAACGGTTGGTGCGAATTTCACTTTATTACGAAAATACTCAACTAATGTAGGTTTTCTGTATCTTACTATTCTACCATGTTAGCCTGAAGTAACACTGTGTGTGTAAATTTAAAAAAAACATTCGTACAATTGTGTTCGGAGTGGTAACGCTGATGTATATGATTGAAAATGTCTCTGCGAAAATGCTCATGCAAGTCCGTGGACCTTACCTTGTTATAACGAATCCACACGAATTGGTTGAAGGCAGGTTAATCTATAACCCCAAGATTATCTTTTATATTTAGATGATACATTGTTTAGTTAGTATCTTCATGTGTATTTGGTGATAACTTACCTGTAAGCTTTATGCCAGAATCAAATACTATGTAACGTGACATGTATAAATGCTATGTGGAGCGAATCGCTGCTCACGATGTTCCTTCACAGATTCAAATCTATCTTCTGGAATAATGGAAGTTGGGTTAAAACCTCAGTAAGAGGGGTAGAAGTAACATAAACATTAGGTAATTCAATGAACATCTTAAACATGAAACTTTTTCGAGAACTACCGAGTTGTGTCATCTGACTTACGCTGCTAGTTGACTGGTCCTACCAATCTCCCACATTATAAGAATATTCCATGTGCCTACGTCTATCGTTGCTCTGAATGCAACAAGATACATAGGCATCGTGACCTCCAAATAAAGATTCTTCAACTCTTAGGCTACAGTTTAAATGGTTTAAACGATATTTTCTGGTTCACGCCATTTTAGCAAGCTTTGTTTCTTCGACATGTGGTTGCTTACCCCGTACCTCTACCATAATAACACCTTGATTAGTGTTTGAAAAGTTATCTAATCTAAGCCTCCCAATGACGGTTTAGGCCAGATAACACTGAAAGCTTAGGAGTTTTCCTCTGTTAACCACTAAGCGATGTTTTTCTGCAGTACTTGGGTTATTAGCTGTTAATAGAGATCTTTAAACACCAGTCCTCTTCCCAGTTTTCAACAGAACCGAAAAAGCTGACTTCGTTTTCCACAGATCTGTAGCGTTGATTCCGATTTTTAAAAACGTGATGTAACGCTCGAAGGTTGACCAGATGTTTCAGACGATTCCATTTTATGCTGCAAAGGATAAACAGCGAAGCTAGTTCCTTTATAAATCATATTTACTCAAAGACTTTATAGAAAATGAACTACATCTGCTACCTGAACCTCTCCCTTGTGTTTCTCTGGGCAAACCTTTGTAGTGACTCACATTTATCACGAGAACACGACTGGTTTAATAAAAACAATTATTATTATAACCAACACTACCAGTGTTTGTTTTAATGTGCTTTTGTTTGACTGTGCTAATGACAGCTATTTTGTGCTTCCATTCTTGTACTGACACTTCGATGTAACTTCGCGCGAATTCGGTTACCTTCTGTAACCAAGATTGTATCCTGGCACGATCTCGGTATCCTCTCGATACCACGAGACTACACAGAAAATAGATATTCAATATTTAACGCGGATAAATACCTAACAATGGAGAAGGCGCGAACAATGAATGGAATGAACTGGAGTTGATCGGATGGCATGACTCGGCCATGCAGGCGTGGTCTCTGCTGAATGTTACCTTATATCTTCTATTCATATTAAATATATTGTTCTTTCTCTAGCTTAACCTTGTTCTACATCATGTATTGACAATTGATACGATACAGTGAGTTGGTGTAGTCGATGGTGTGACTTCCACGTAAGATCTTATAGATTAGGCAGTTATATTATGACGAATCTACAAATTTAGGATTAGGTTTATTATTAGAGCAGTACTAATATCATAGTAGACCATAATTCTACAAGTCTATGATTTATCTATCCACGTCTGTCGTATATTTTCATATTTTTTAATACATAATATACTCGACATGACGAATAACGATAAGAATAGTATTAATATAATAGACTCCCATTCATGTGTACCGAATCCTTGTCACTTTTTACTCGCGTGATGATGAAATCCACGCTTTATTCGAGAAATGTTACCCTATTAACTATTCTCCTCGCTGACCCGGCTGCTTGGTACGGAATGCATACGCATAAGCATATCCGTCTACCACCCAGCACCAAATGGTTGAGTAAACGGTTTCACTGCCAACTTAAAAGTGCTATACGAGCACACGAGAACGACAACTGGTACGAAACCTTATCGCTCGTCCTCTAAGGTATTCAAACGAGCCTGATGGCAGATATACAATGTTCCGCCGCTGAACTGATAAACGGCACGACAATGTGTCTGCCCGGAGAATTCTTCACACCACGGAGCAGACCTAATTTCGGTAAATCAGACTACGTCCATCGACTGTCTGCATTTATGCGAACGCTGTCTCCGGTGTCAACTCGAATACAACATCGACAGGTCGCTCTCCCTCGAGAGTTATCTACCTGTTCACATGTTTTTGTACGAGTAGATTCGGTACGCAAACCTTTACAACAACCTTACGAAGGCCCTTTTCGCGTGATCGCTCGTCACGAAAAGACCTTCAAGGTTGATCGACACGGCCGCGTCGAGATCGTCAGCATTGATCGTCTCAAACCAGCACACGTCGATGACAGTGCCCTATCTGACAACCTGAGATTCAATGCTAGACCTATCAAACCTAGCGGGATCCCTAAATCTTCTTCAGGTCCCACGCAAGATGCATCTGAGACCTCATTCTCACGTCCCAGTCAACAGCACGCGTCATCTGCACCGTCTACGGATGAGACGACAGTCTCACGTCCAGATCAGCAGACCACGCCGCCCTTGACTTCGGATGAGATTGCAGGCTCACGCGACGCAAACGAGACTACCGTCTCACGTCCCGGTCGCCAAGTACGGTTACCCGTACGCTTCCGCGACTAGTTGCACAGTCGACAACCGATACGGTGTAGGAATATTCCTATGCTACTTACGTGCTACACTCTTCTCTTTTTTGATTTTCATTTTGCTTCCTAAGCTTACGCCTTCGACCATCTCTGTTTGGTTCCGTCGACTTCAGTCAACTTTGGCAAAAGCTGGCCTGATCACCCATGCTCTTGTCAACGTACTCAGTCGATATATTGGTTTCGAATGCTTGGCATACGCTTGGTCTCGAACTTGGTCGTTACGGTCGCTTCTGGTCTTTTGGCTCAACGTGGTTTCGTCTGCAGCGTTTCTGGTGCGCACCCCTACGAACGCCCTCTTCAGATTCTGGATACAAACCACTCTGGTGTAGCATGCCAACTCAAGCAATAAATACAACACATCGCTCCTGGTACCGTTCTCCGAAAACGACCTTCGTTGGCAACTCGACGATCAACGATCGCTTTCCTGTTCGCCAATTTTTCCGTCCTACAATCGCTCGTCAGCCGATCAGTCCCACGATTTAAACCGCTATTTATCGAAAGTGTTAATCCTTTCTAGCGGGGGGCTCCTGTAGTGACTCACATTTATCACGAGAACACGACTGGTTTAATAAAAACAATTATTATTATAACCAACACTACCAGTGTTTGTTTTAACGTGCTTTTGTTTGACTGTGCTAATGACAGCTATTTTGTGCTTCCATTCTTGTACTGACACTTCGATTGTAACTTCGCGCGAATTCGGTTACCTTCTGTAACCACGATTGTATCCTGGCACGATCTCGGTATCCTCTCGATACCACGAGATCGCCAGCAAATATACACCTCGATTTGGTCAATTAATTGCCTTCTGGTATTTGGCTTCTCGGGGATTTTATGGATCTATTTGGTTACGTCCAACCCTCGCCATCTGATTTATTTGGCACGTGTTTCTCTGTAGCGGTGTTCATAGTTAATCTCAACTCGACACCACGCTACACCTTAATGACTAACAAATTAAGGGGCTTTTATCCGTGAAAGGTCGCACTTTTATTAATTACTGGTAAGCCCTGCTTTCGACGCCTTATTGATCGATCTGACTATAGCTCCTTCGGTGGATCGTCTCAAGAAGTGACCGGATACCATGTACATACCTACAGATTGCCGCCCCCCTTCAAACACTAATTAGCCACGCACGTACACGCAAAAGTGTCCGTTACATATCTTAAGCTTTTTATGTCATAATTAATTGTTGCTACCAACTTCAGTGATCTACTGTCCAAAGATGCTGCAACTTCCAACAATCCTAATTGTTTAGAATAAACGAGCTATCTATACCCACGCCACATCAACCCTCAATTAATTATCAAATGTACTAGGCTTAACAGGAGTACCATACTGAGAGGAAAAAGAGATCTGAGCCGTATCTTTGCACCATAAAGCGCGTAAAAGCACTCTCCCAGCACCTCACCACACAGATACTGGAAGCCAAAAGTCAATGCATTGGTTTTCGCGGCTAGAATCAGTAAGTTGTGAGACTCTTATTAGAGCTACAGTGATGACACCGTCTGACCAATATCCCAAAGGAAGGCTGGACGATTACTTTAAATTTATAATTGCCAAGTAGGAATACTCTGTGTGACTATCTAATCGCAGACCACAAGTAACAAAAATATTTCACTCATCCTCCCAAACAAGGTTGCATCACGAAATTGTCAACTCAGTGGTTGTTGTACATAGTATTCCGCAGTAAATCTTTTGAAGTGCGCGTTACACTATCCCATAGACTGTCAGGTGATATTTCGGTAATTTCTTCTCATTGTATTCCGAACCGCCTCTAAGTTGAGAATTTTACGAAAACCAAATCTCGGCATTTCAGAATATAGGGAGAATCAACGCGCTTCAAACAAGAGTAGTGATTTCGTGCTTGTTGTGTATTACATTTCCTTTTGTGTATTTATTGTATCAAAATCATACTTAGTATACTGTAACATGAATTATTCTAATTAGGTTTTAGGATTCTCTCCAAATCTATTTTCTGCAACTTTTATATTAGTTAGTTCTCATACTGCTGATTATATAGTTCCAGGCTCCCCAAAGTCAAATGACCTTCACCAAGGTTAAAGGTAAATTTTATGGAAATCTTAAGGAATTTCCCTAGGTCAGGAAATTTTGGGGTTTTAGAGGCATTTTCTCAAAATTTCGCCAAATTTACTATAGCGACTTCCCTATAATCGGTCAAATTTTCCGCAAAATTCAGAGCCCCGGGTGCTTTCATCAAGTTCGCAATTCAATAATAATGATAGTAGGTCCGTCGACATATCTCAGTCCTTGAAATTTGTAATACTGTGAAGGTCCGATATCGTTTTGAATGTGTCGACAGGAGGTGCTGATACTACGTGTTCTGGTAGGGGACTTCACTAATTCACTACTCAGTGTGAGATACAGAACTCCAGACGTAAACGGTTTGATCTCAGTTTTTGAACTGTTCTATAATATCCTTTAAATGATCAATCCTGGAATGAAGTAAAAGGTAAGGCTTATGAGTACTAAGATCATTGTTCAGTATACAGTAACCCAGTATTAGATCACTCTGTAACCTGCGGTAAGATAACGGGAATAGGTTGGGGAGTCTCAGTTTGTTTGTAAAAGATAGGCCAGAGAAATTGGTTACCATTTCCGTCCTTCATCTTTGAAGTCGTTGTATATCCTCACACCTCAAACATGGACCCGCTACTAAAATACTGAATTCCAAATACGGCCTCACGAAAGTTGGTTTCAGTATGGAATGGGCAGAAATCTTGTTGGCCTGTGCTAGTCCTGGCAACGATGGTCTTTCAGTCAATCCCAAGCGTCGACATGATTAAAGGCCTCACGTATGGAACATAGGGTTCTAAAACATTTGGCGTTTATGGCACGGCAATATGTAGTAGTTTTTAAGTTTTGCCCAACAATGACTCCTAAGTCATTGTGCGTCTGGACGATAGGTAGCTCAATGTTATTCACCATGTGTGTATTTGTATCTTGGTGACCGATATGCATCGCAATGCACTTTGAAGCATTTATCGGCAATTTCCAGATTTCAGACCAGTTAGATAATCTCTCCAGGTCATTTTGAAACTCTAAGCTATAACATTTACTTTTTACCGCTCTCCATATCTTGATATCGTCAGGATATAGCAAGACAGATGATGATAGAAGACTAGGAAGGTTGTTAACATACAAGGGGAATAACATTGGTCCCAAAACTGTACCCTGAGGCACTCCTGTAAGCACAGTTTCCCAGCTGGACAACTTGGAGTTCACCCGTACTATTTGTTGGCGTCCAACCACGAAGTTTTTTATCCACATTAATAGATTGCCTTCAACCCTTGATAGTTCTTAACTTATATAAAAGTTGGTTGTGAGGAACTTTGCCAAAAGCTTTGCTGAATTCAGTTTAAGCTACGTCTATAGGTAACTTTTGGTCTTCAAGAGCACACCGGCTTTCACGAGTCACTAATAAGCTAGCGAGACAGGAATAACCTATTCTAAAGCCCTACTGCCCTTCCGAAAAGAGCCGGTTTTCATCGAGATACGTAAACAGCTCCTTCCGAATAATTGTTTCCTAAATTTTCATAACTACGTTGGCTGGAATTACGGGTCGATAGTTTTCAGGTTTGCGTTTCGTACCTGTTTTGAAGTTAGGACTTACTGTGACGTTCCTACAGTAGTTTGAGAATACTTGAGCTTTACCATAGTCGTCCTCCACTAATAATAAAGCTTTACTGTCTCCACATAGCGTTGGAGTATTTCCCCTTTTTTAGTCCTCCGTACTTAATGTCTAGATATGTTTTATTTTTGTCTCTCGGTATGCTCGTAATATCTTAGAATGAATCGATGTGACAAAATGTGGATTGATCATTTCCGTTTTCAATCCAGTGAAACATTTTCCAAGAGCACTTATACATAAATACTGCTATGTATCAATCTGAACCATCTGCTATAATCGCCCCTACCTCGTTTTTTTAGAGTTGTCTACCAACACTGACATGTTTATGGCCTGGAGTAGTCCGGTACTGTCAGCCCATTACAAACAACGTTTTCTCGTAGGTCTCTTGAAATCTCGTTTGGATTTTAATCCGACGAGCCACGTCATACTGTATTGAGTGCTGAGTGTGTTCTTCCCTTTTAATCCAGTGAACAACTGGTTGCTGTTAATGTTCTTTTCAGTAAGTCAGTAATAAACAACATAGAACTTGTCAAGTTGAGACACCGTGCCAGCACATCTGAATGAAGTTATGGAGACTGGTTAAAGTATTAACGGTATCATTGATAGTAAAAACGACTAGATATAAATAATATGATTTGAGGTAAAAGAATAAATTAGGGAAATAAAAACTACGGGATAATTTTAAAACTAAAGATGTAAGCTAAGACAAAAATTAAATGTATATGCGCTATTGAGACCGGCTCTGGGCTTTTCTGCTGATTTTTCATAGCTGTTAAGGTCTCACGCTATTCAATTAACGATAACACGTAGGTAAATGTCGAATGCTAATGATAAATAATTGCGACACACCTAAATTCACTTATTTGATCTTAAAATCATACTCGAACCTTTAAAACGATTCACAATTATTCGGTGTAATATCCTTGATTTCTCTTGTGTATCATATGATAACCCCAGATTTCCTTTTAGTGTTGAATCATTGCTAAAATCTATTTAAAGAACCTACGTTTAGCGTAATGAATAAACGGGATGTTTCCTGAAGTGTCATAAAATTAACAGGGATCAAAGCTTTTGAGCATTATCAGGACTTTGACAGCGAAACATATTTACGTTGTTGTAAATCGATAAAAAATACATATATTAGTCTGTAGTAGTATATAATCTGCCTTGAATTTAGTTTCTGGCTTGTAAGATATCATTTAGCGAATGTTTAGGAAGGATGCAAAAAAACGTATATCATCATTCAAAACTTTTACAGTTGATCCAAGATTTCAGGCAGTAGTTAAAGTTCCAACAGCGGACAAACACTTGTCCTCCCCCGTTGCTGGATTCATTTTTGATACTTATGAAGCTACGTGGTTGCCTGATTCTATGTTTACTAATATTATCCCATCACCCAATGGTTGGCAGGTTTAATGGACTCAAAAAAAGCTCCGGTATGAAAATCCACTACTACGTATTATTCTAAATGCTGATCTCTTCCTCGGTGTGGGCAACCGGGAAGCGATAACCGCCCTCATACCTCTAACAGCACTCGAGACCACTGTATTCATAATCAACCTTTCTTTTCAATTCCTATTATTCCTCCTACATCGACTTTCCACTCTAAACTTCCTCTTTCGGCTTCCTCCTCAAGTGTCACCATAGCCAACGATTCTAGTGCTCAAAACCCTGTCCCAGATCTACTGAAACCTCGCTCTAAACTACACATTGGAGCCTTCAACGTACGCACCCTATGTCAAATCGGTCAGCAGGCTTCCTCGGCTAAAACCCTAGAGTCTCTTTCCATTGATGTATGCTGTGTCTCCGAAACACGCATACAGGATTCCAGTGTGGTCATTCACTTGACCTCACCTCGGCAAAACAGAGAGCCAACGAGATAAACCCTCCGTGTATCTGGTGACCCGATGGCCAGTTCTCGTGGACTGGCAGGTGTAGGCATAGCACTAAGCATGAGGGCGGAACAAGCACTGCTAGAGTGGATCCCCGTCAACAGTCGTCTATGTGCTGTTCGGCTGAACGGCTCCGTAAGAACTCGGAAGGATAGGGATACACGTCGTTGCCTTTTCGTCGTTTCTGCCTACGCTCCCACTGACTGCAGCTCAGATGATGTGAAAGATGGATTTTGCAGAAAGCTATCTGAACTTCTTCAGAAAGCTCAACGCTCAGACATAGTACTCATAGGGGGCGACTTTAATGCTCAGATAGGTAGCTTAAACCAAACGGAAAGGCATTTAGGTGGATATTTTAGCATTCCGGCACAGCGAACAGATAATGGTGACCGTCTGCTGCAACTGTGCTCAGACAATCGCTTATTTTTAGCAAACACAAATTTTAAGCATAAGGAAAGACATCGTCTAACATGGCGACTCCCTACACCAAACCAACAATGGACTCAAATAGACCATATTGCCATCAGTCATCGTTGGAGAGGGTCGGTAGAAGATTGTCGCTCATTCTGGAGTACCTGCTTGGACTCCGACCACGCCCTAATACGGGCACGCATCTGCTTGCGCCTCACTGGACGTGAAAAAGCCACAGTAAAAAGACCCATTAGAACCGAACTGAGTAGCGAGGAAACCAAAAGTAGGTTCCAGGAACAACTGAGGTCACGATTAGGTAGTTCTGAAGACGAGGTTGACCCAGTTGTTGCTTGGAAAGCCATACAAACAGCTGTGGAAACAGCAGTGACATCTATCAGTGATTTAAACCACAGGGTTACAAAGAACCAGTGGATTTCTTCAAAGTCTATCACACTGATGGATTCTCGCAAACTCGTCCCATCAGGTTCCGAACATGATGAAGAGCGACAACAAATCAGATCTAGGTTAAGAAAAAGTCTAAGAAACGACCGTGAGCAGTGGTGAGCAGCGAAAGCAAAAGAGATGGAAAAGGCGGCGACTATAGGGAACACAAGACAGCTTTACAGACTAATAAAAGAAACTGGAATTAATAAGGAGGTCCACTTATCGACTTAGAATACGCAGATGACATAGTCGTGTTTGGTGAAGACGCTGACAAAATGCAGAGTCTTTTGGTAGCACTGAGCAACAATGCCAGAATGTTTGCAATGCGCTTCTCTCCATCTAAATCCAAGTTGTTGCTTCAGGACTGGTCTGCGTCAACACCTGAACTAAGGACAGGGAGTGAAGTAGTCGAACGCATCGACAACTTCAATTATCTTGAAAGTCTGATCAGCCCCAATGGGTTGGTGTCTGACAAAATCTCAGCACGGATTCGAAAAGCTCGTTTGACTTTTGCCAACTTACGTCACCTGTGGCGAAGGCGAGATATCCGTCTATCAATAAAAGGACGAGTATACTGCGCGGCAGTCCGTTCTGTTTTACTTTACGGCAACGAAACATGGCCATTAAGAGTAGAAGATATTCGTAAGCTACTAGTATTTGACCACAGATGCCTTAGAAATATTGCTGGCGTCTGGTGGGATCACTGGATAAGTAATAGTGAGGTTAGACGCAGGGTATTAGGGAATGATGGTAAATCAGTTGATGAGGTTATGAATCTTCATCGACTGAGATGGTTGGGCCACGTGTTACGTATACCTGAACACCGACTATCACGACGTGCAATGCTATCCGGTATTGGAGATGGTTGAAAAAAAGTTAGGGGCGGCCAAACCAAAACGTGGCATCAGTGCTTGAAGACACTAACTTCTAGTCTGAGCCATGTTGGTAGATACAGACTACTTGGTTGGGGTTCGCGTGACTATCGTAACCAATGGTTAGAGACTCTGGGTGGAACGGCTCAGAATCGATCACAGTGGTATTGGTGTATACACTCTCTGCCGTACCTTAAACTAAGAGATTAAAATCACTTCATATCTTTCTTTCTACGAACCAATTCTTTCTTCTTGTACTATATCTCTATATGCAATCTTTCTCTTATATATTACCACCTTTGACCTAACCACTGCTGTGAATCCGGTGCTCATCTTGTTGTGCTGATGCGGTATGGCAACCTGGACCGATGCACATATGTGCCTGGTCCTACGTTGTAGCTGACTGACTGACTGAAATGCTGATCTGACCCTGTCTTATTTGTTTTATGAAATGAAGAAATCATTTTCAAGCTTCATTTGTTTCATGTTGTATTGTATCTACTCTTGTCTTTGGTAGTCAAAGCATTTACTGCGATTGAGTTCGGAAATTTATTAGTGATATCAACTCTGTTAACATACTCCATACTGTGATAATGAATCTTCCATTAGCCCTTCGTATTTCTTCGGACTTATTGACGATTATTTTACGTAAGTTAATTCTCGTACTCGATTCACCTTGTTTTTAGTTCATGGTGTTTATTTTCTGATCAAGTACTGTGGAAGTCATAAATGGAGTTTCTTCTGTGATGATTGGAGTATCAAATATCCATATAAAGACAATACTATAACTGATGTAGTAGTAACTGTAGTTAGTTATCTCACGCCACTTGTTACAGTAAATTGTGTTCATGAGAAAATAATCTGTTTTGAAAAGATTTTCTTAGTTGAGATAATCACTGCTGTACTGAAGAAACGTACTGAAAATAAAAATTATTCAATTAAAGGTGTAAGTTGTCACTGTAACTAATCACTTATGTTATCGTTATTTATTTTCTTAGTCTTTACCATTTATCTATGATTTCTGTGTTGCCGCCCTTATATCTCTTGGAACAACGTTTTTTCTAACTACAATTACAAAATACAATCTTGGCCGGTTGAGGCCACATTTTTGGGATATTTGCCAACCAAATGTTCCTGTAAATTGTACTGGTTTGCAGACAACGTATACATGTCAGGGTACAAATTCAAAGTTGATTGCTGATGTATTGTAAGTAATCTTTTCCTTTATTCAAATCAATTAGTTCTCCCACTCCTAATAGTTTTGATTATAAGTCAATGTTATCTCAAAATAGAGTAAAAACAGAGTACACTTAAAAGTTTTATTTTGAGACTCTGTGCAACTTATGGAGTCAAACAGTTATTTTTAACCAATTAATTCAACTCTCTTGATCTCTTATGAGTTTTCATCTAAAACAGCACGTCTTTCGATTGCTTTGTGTCTTTAAATGTCGCACTGCTTGCTAATATGAGTAGATATTCTGCCTACTCATGAAAAATCATGTATTCACTGTTTTCACAATACTTAAATTCGATGTTTTATGAACTAGAATTAAGAATTCTGACTTATTTTTAGGGCCCTCGTGATCGGTTTATTTGACGAAAGGGTCTACTAACGATGACTACGCTTATCCCTATCAGACCACCGACCTTAACTTGACAAATAACACGATTTGACCAACAAAAGATGATCGTAAACAATGACCCATAAAATCCATGTTCTTATTTTTCTCCAACACACTTTTCCTCTATCCTAACATCCAGTCCTAAGTCAAGTACATCAAGCCAAGAAATCCTATTATTATCGATTCATCCGTTGTCACTTACTCAAAACCTCATCGCATAGCACCACGAATTACATTGTCTGTATGACTACACCACAAGTGAAAAAACGAAATAGTAAGTTCGTACTTAGTCTACAACAATTTAGTGAAGGTAAACCATATGACAATTGTGTATGCATCAAAAAGAAGCTTACAGTACTAAGAATATAAATGACAATAATCCATGTATTCATTAATTACGTAGTAAAAATAAAGAATAGTAACTCGTGATATGTTAGTTCTAAAAGTTCCGACTTTCTCAATATCCTTTCTATCCTAACACAATGGAATTAAATACATAGTTTTCTGATTTTAGGTCCTATCCGTAATGCTATTCTACAACTTACAACAGTCATGCTAACTTCCCTAATTAAAGCCAGGTACCTATTCTAGAACAAGAGGCTATACTAAGAACAATTTACCATCTTTGTTAGCACCCAAAATTGGCTCGATTACTGTCTTGAATGAAAATAATGCAAGACACAAACATTAATTTTGCATTATTATTTAATTAAAAGCTCAGAATATTCATATTCTATTTTATCGAATCAACTTTCAAAAACTGAAAAGTTTATTCATATGAATTCATCAATATACATTGTAAGAGTTCATCTAATTCGATCATTTCACAAAATATTGTTCAATCGTTTTATTCAAGATCAAACTTATGAATTACGATAGCAATACAATCATTTACTTAAATTTTTTATTAGATTTGTTACTTCATCTTCATAGTTTTACTAAATTAACACAAAAATCAACTTAGCTAAAATTACATTCATGTCATTACATACTCTTACACTGAACATCTTTCTAATAAATCATATTTAATAATTTAACATCAACAATATTCTTTTGCTTTGTCATTATTATTTTATCTATTTAGTTTGTCATTCATGTCAGGCCATGCATCAACAGCTTCTGCTAGTTTATTCTTCACTGTGGTAGGTTGATTTATTTTAAAAATGACCTTTTAAACTGTACTTCGTTATGAATTAGGTGAGTAATGATTGTCCTTATGGTTCGGGTTTCATTCATCTTCAAGAGGTTTATATACTAGTTAAGATTATTAAGCTGTACAATAGATGTGGCTTGTGACTTAATACACAAACATGTTTGGAATCGCGTTTAAGTTTTATTATTATTATTATTATTATTATTATTATTATTATTATTATTATTATTATTATTATTATTATTATTATTATTATTATTATTATTATTATTATTGTGATGAGGTGAGCTGTGTAGTGGTTACTTTCACGCAAATACGGTTTATTGCATCGTAAAGATTAAATGAGTTTAACAAAACATTAGAATATGTGTCCTAAAGGAGGATTTTATTATTTATGACGCAAAGCATTTTGGATGGTTCAGATAAATTAGTGGAATTCTGATCCATAAATCCTGTGCGATGATGCAGTATCATAGACTGATAACTACCCACTAAATTGAATTATCGACGAAAAATTTCCAATGGAACTGCTTTTAAAAGACAAGACAACCAGCCAAAAGCTTGATTACATGTCATTTAACAGATAAGTGAACAGGCGATAATAGTTTCTTAGGTCACTCACTAATCAAATAAGGACCATTGTATCAAGCTTAATTCTTATTCGAAATATCGTCATAGTTGGTTGGCAAAGTCAGAGTTGATACCATTCAAGAATAATAATTGTTTTGGGTTGTAGAGATTAGTAAATCCATAATCCAATCATTGTATAAGATTGCTGGTGAGGCCGTGGATACCCACTTTTAAAGGGTCCCATACTAAAACGAAACACATGTCTAATGATTCTTAGTTTTCAATGGTTGTCTTACTAAAGCCAGTTCATGATGTAAAATAACAAAATAATTGTTGTATTTCGCCACATGGAAAACGGCATCGTGAACTTTGTAAATCAATTAGTTAGAAAGCGGAAAAATACGATCCCTGATTAATGGCATATTTTTCCAGGAAAATGACAAACTTTTTGTAAAAAAGGCAGTTTGAATGATTTTTATTATTTATTTATTTGAACACATGAATATTGGTACAGGAGAGCGCCAATATATATGCGCCACACAAAACAATGAGAATTCGAAGAGAAATAGAGAGAAAAAAACTAAGGGGCGCAAAAGAAAAAGAGAACAATAACGAAGAGATCGCAACTTTCTTTCATACCACGACACCATGTCGTGCACTGACCACCTCTCCGCTTCTTCCAACCAGTCCCAGAGTCGGCAAATAATGCACGACGTGGAATTCTCTGAGACGACATTCGTAGAACATGTCCAAGCCACGGAAGTCGGTGTTTCAAGATGGTGACACCAACCGAATGACCGTCTCTGTACCCGAACACACGATGCCAAACCTCTGCATTACTAACATGGTGTTGCCACTGGATGTCAGCAACCCTTCGGAGACAACGATGATCAAACACAGAAATTCGTCTAACGTCCTCAATTCGGAGAGGCCAGGTTTCACAAACATAGAACAAAACTGCTCTCACCGACGCGTTGTAGATCCGACCTTTTACAGCCAGACTAACATCACGAAGGCGCCAAAGGTGGCCCAGATGGGCATAAGCCGCTCTGGCTTTCACTATTCGTGCATTGATCTCATCACTCACATCCCCACCAGCACTTATGCAGCTACCCAGATACACGAACTTCTCAACTACGTCTATCTGCTCACCATCTAGGGTGAGTACAGGATTGGAATCCTGCCAGTCTTGTAGAAGTACTTTGCACTTCGAAGGTGCAAAGCACAAACCATACCTACGAACACTGATTGCCAACTGATTAAGTGCGGATTGAATGCCTTGGGCATTATCGCACAGTAAGTCAATATCATCCGCATACTCAAGGTCGAGAAGTCTTTCTCCAGGCAACAGATCCACACCGCCATTACTTACATCCATCAGAACTGTTTCCAGAATGTCGTCGATGGCAAAGTTGAAGAGAAATGGTGAAATTGGGCATCCCTGCCTAACCCCACTGCTCGAATGTAACAATGGAGAGAGGTGGTTGTATGCCCTCACTCTGCCTGAGGCGTTTGTTTATAGGGCTCTTAGGATGTTAATAAACTTCTCAGGCACACGCTTCTTCAATAGACAATCCCAGAAAACAGTCCTGTCCAACGAATCGAAGGCAACCCTGATGTCAAGAAACACTACGATTGTTGGCCTTTGATAAGTATGGCGGTGTTCTAACATTTGGTGGAGGGTGAAGATATGATCAATACATCCTCGACCGGAACGAAACCCAGCCTGCTCCTTGCGAGTCAATCTTTCTCGGGTTTTGAACAACCTATGAAGTATGATGGAGGCCAATAGCTTGGACGCAATCGGAAGTTGACTTATCTCCCGATAGTTATTACAGGAACGGTGTGAACCCTTTGTAAAGATAGGGATAACTATCGACTCATTCCATGAGTTGGAGTTCCTTGCGTACTTCCTCCTCGTTTGGTGGATCAGTCGTCACCGGCCATAGAGGGCAGGACAGTCTGACCGATGTTGCCGGAGCAGCAGGCCAGTTGAACTGCCCTTCGAAAAATTCTGCCCATCGTCCAAGACGTCGATGGATGTTAGTGATTGGCATCCCATCATCCTCACAGATTGTTTCACTCACAATAGACTTCTTGCTGCCAGTGGCTCGGATGAGCTGGAAGAGCGTCCGGAAGTTACCAGATGCAGCTGCTGCTTTCAGCTCATTAGCACGCATCGACCACCAGGCTTCTCGGTCCTTACGCAAGCTTTGCCCAATTTCCTTACGTAACATCCTTCGTTTATGGTCAAACTCACGGTCACCCGTAGTAGACCGACGGGCTTCAATGAGTTGTAAGGAACCAGAAGAAACCCAGTGCTTATAAGCGGGACGTTTCGCAAACCCAGAAGGAGCGGCAGTCTTGTACACAACCACGCCAGCGGTAGCTGATCGCGATGTAATCAATCTGAGTCCAGGCTTGATATGCAGAGGGAGAACGCCAGGTGGCACATCGGCGATTACTGTGCCGAAAGTTAGTGCTAGCCAGAAACAGGTTGTGGTCTGTGCATATTTGCAGTAGACGGTCCCCTTTATCTGACCTGCGACCAACGAGTCCCCATCGGCCACCTAAACGACTCTCTTCTGTGCCTAGACGCCCGACCTGAGCATTCAAGTCTACGGCTAGTACCACAATATCTGTCGAACGCACTTTCTGGAGAAGAACAGATAACTGGTGGTAAAACTCATCTTTGATTGCATCCGGGCTGCAATCTGTCGGGGCATAGGCGGAGATGACGTAAAGACACCGTTTCTCACACCGATTTCTTCTCACTTTGATGGAACTTTCTAATCGAACAGCACATAACCGACTGTTAATGGGGATCCAATTGATTAGTGCTGCCTCAGCTCTAGCGCTTAGTGCGACAGTGACGCCAGCAAGACCAGACGAAGATGCCACAGGGTCCCCGGATAAGCACATTTAAAACAAGCTTTTCGAAACGACAGATGTAGAGCGAACTTGTAGTACTTTACCAGAATCTTGAATACGGGTCTCGGATAGACATCAAACATCGATACTAAGACTTTCCAAAGCATAACCAGCCCTATCTGTTGTCCGACCTGCATAAATGTGCGAACGTTGAAGGTAGCCAGTTTGAATGGTGCACGTGGTTTCAGAAAAACTGCTTCAGTATTCGTATTCGGTGGTAACATACAATTTTTAACCGGACAGTGACTTGTGAACGTTTAGATATAGTCGAATTTCCACCAAAGACGAGCCGCTGTATAAGTTTAAAAGAGGGTGAATAATGTGGTAAATAATAATAATAGTGATAATAATAATAATAATAATAATAATAATAACAATAATAGTAATAATAATAATAGTATTAATAATGACAATAATTGTAATGATAATAATTTGAATCAATTGATTGTTTTTCGAAGCGAGAAAAGTAAATTCCATAGACATAAAGAATTCATCATTTGTGTGTGGGCTGTGATACTGCCCGGGTGCCCAGACCGAAGCAGGTGGTTATCTTAGGGAGCCACACCCCGAGCCTTTGACCTAAAGGTCTAACCCACAAGGCAGTGGAGCATCGTAAGGAGATGCAATCCCATGGTAGCCGGTGACCGACAATTGGTTCATACGCCATTTGTTCCCGCAGGATACTGGAGCCCATGTGCACCATTGGTTTGGAATCCAGTTAAAGCGCCGGACATTCGCTTATTACATTTTATACGTATATATAAAGATGTCTCTATTTAATCTTAAGGCAATAATAAAGAACTTAGAACCTGATATAAATATACATCAGCCAATTTTCCATCGGACTTCACGTCAACACAGAGAAAGTCAATAAGTTAGTCATCAACGTGATCGATTACAGTGGAAAGCTAAACACATTTAAGATATAGCTAGGATAAAATCAATTAATAACGATTGTGATATCAAGACTCAATATTCAAACTGTGTCTAACTAGAGACATAAGATTTTTGACTTTCTAATCTATATAAGGTGGACTTAGTACTGACACTGTGTTGTTATGCATACAATTTTCGCCAACCTCATTTTAATTAACTTCAACATATTAATCACACCTACTTACGTTTGACAAAATGATAGGTATGTTTATTTGTGCATTGAGTTGTAAACTGTAATATCTTATCAGAATCCTGGTGGCATGGCTGTTTGTTGTGACTGAATAACTGTTGCTAGTTGTTCAGTGAAAAAAGACTAATTGAAAGAAAAATGCAAGATTATAGTTGAAGATTTACTTATGAACCGTCTATTGATTCAAATGACATTTTAAAAAGAATACAATGAAATATCTATCATTTTAAATCTCCGATTAATCGATAAATTTACATATATATTGATCTAGCACTAATTGACAATAATTAATCAATACATTAACTACTTTTATTAACAAATGTGACTAAATTACTGTGCTAAATATTTTATTTTTTGCTAATAAAAACTATACTAATTTTTTTTATGTTGAAGTAATTCATTCGTAAATTAATCAACTTGTCAGTATTGTCTTCTTTTTCGAGTTCAATGTAGCCAGTTATTGTTACTTTCCAGGGTTTTCTAAAGTACTTTTTGGTCAATCTATTAATGTTAAGTGACAGAATAAAGAGTTGATTACAGTACATGTAACTTTCCCCTACTATTTTTTTAAAAAAAAAGATAAACACGTATATTTTAGCATCTAAAATATACGTTAATCCAACACCAAATTTATTACTTCTTTTACAGATTTATTTACAGGCTCGACTGCATCTACCTGTAATACCTTTCCTACGACCATTTCTACAATACGTTCTGCTTTCTGTTTTGTTTTACATATGCGCCACACGTGTAACTGATCATTATCATCATCCAACAGATGTATTAGCTGGAGCTATATTAGGTCTTTTGACTTCTGTCTTCGCCGTAAGTACCTTCTCCTTTTCTAAATTACCGTTCAGAAATGGAAATTTTTTGTACTGGTTCTATCCAACTTTTAATTTATAAACTTAAATCATGTAAAAGATGTTTTAAGATGTATTTCCAAGTGATTTAAATAATTGTAATGAATCTACAATTGACTCTCGTTAAACTTGAACGAAAAGTCGCAATATGCTAATTAGTCGACTTTCAATCAACCAGTTCTCGTTTGCAACTCGAAAATTCAAAAAATTGCTATGTGAATTCTAATGTTTTTCCTACTGGGTCTTTGATTTTTAGGTTTATTAGAGTGTATATTGTTGAATTATTGTTCTGATTTGGAAAGATTTTTATTGAAATGGTGTCCAAGGAATAATGGACAGTAGAATAACTCAATACATTGATATTCTCAGGTCCTAAGAATATTGTATGATAATAGTGATGTATTGCGAATTGACTGAAACTAATAAATATAAACAGTTTAATCTAGACTCAGTGTCTAAGTGGTATGTTGAGCTCACTTTGAGAGGCCTTAATGTTTCTAAGTTTGATTCCATGTAGAGAAGTAGGCGCACACTTCTAGTAAATCTCAACCTTGAACTAATTGTCTGTCCATTTATCTTTGGTTTTCATTCACTCTATATTTGATATCAGTTACTGATGAAAGTTATATTCAATTTCTTTTTGTTTTGTTTACTGCTTAGTAGTATGGTATGGCGTGTTTCTTATCATGAATTGATAACAGCTAGAGCTAAACGCTTCGTACTTTTGACTTCAGTTATTTCATGATATAGGGCGACAAATATTCAATGTGCTTCTGGTATATCATTTTCAAAATAGTTTAATACTATCAGTCATACTGAGTAACAGTTCGCTCTGTATCCCTCTATGACTGTAAAACATGGCCTATAAAATTAAATGTCATGCATAGACTACAAATTTTTTATCATAAGTTTCTTTGAAGTATTTGCCGCGTATCATGAAACGACCGATTGAGCAATGTTGAGTTTAAGTATATGGTAAAAAGAGGAGATTAAAAATTGGTTTATTAGAGTATGAATCTTCAACTTAGGTCTTCAACCACTGTCTATCTCAACATGTAAATTTGGCTACAGTAAGAGATAGTTGAAAAATCGGTATGGTCAAACTAGGTAGGCATCAATTCATGGAGTCACTAACTTTTTGTTGGTCCAAGCCAAATTAATAAATTCAGAGTACCTGATTAGGATCCTTGAGGTTGTCGCTGCCAGTTGTTGGAGACAGGGGTTATGTGGGTTAAATTCAGTTACGCAAGGAACACTTCCACTCATTATCTTGCCTCAGATCATGTACCAGGCTCTACATTTATTATAGCTGACTGATCAATCAGTATGTTGTATTTGAACTTACGGGTTCCATGTTAAAGTTAATCCATGATGATAATCTTTGACCAAATTGAAGTAATATCAGCAAAGCATTAAATTAAACAAACAAGTTTTTAACCATCTATTTTGTTTACCCGTCTAATCTGAACTCATAATATTGAATAAAGTCATTATTATTATTAATTACTGGATCAGGACCTTCAAACTTCAACCACTAAGATCGTTTTCAATAATCACATAGTATATAAACGTGTACTATACAAGTGAGCTACGACTACCCAATTAAATATATCAATAAATTCATTTCATCATATCTATCTTGCTTATCAACCTAGTTTATACAATTAAAGGTTTAGATATCTCATAAAAATGATGAAGACACTTTTTTTTAGAGGTTAGTCATCTTTTTATAGTATAATTTAAAGAATATTGATTAGAAACCACGTGTTGTACCAGGTCTGATCTTTCACAATAGTTGTCTCTACTTTTCTACTAACTTATTCTTGACATTCTCCATTCAGGTTTTTTAAACTATATTATATGAATTCATAGTGTGAATGAAAAAAGTAACTTCTGCTTAAGGAATAAAACTAGGTAGATCACTAACTATTCAATACCTTAGACATTTAGCCGTATTTGTGTTGTACATACAATGCATGAATGTCATAAACGTGTCCAATACTATAATCAGTAAGCAGTAGAACAGAAATTAAATAGTCATCCACTAGTTCCATTGAACTAGCAATTATTGATTATTTTGTATTCGTTTATTCATCTCCTTAATTTAACTCTTGTCTCCGTTTCTCACAATTTGTGTGAATTGATAGAACGATGAAATTTTGTTCTATAGTTTATATTTCACAGAACAAAAAATACTTATTTGAACGGTGTGTTGTCAAACAAAAGTAATGTATACCGTACACACAGATTTTAGTACAATCATTTAGATTAATTTGATGACATGTAATTATTAAATATGATGTTATGAAGAGTTCAATAATCTGTTTTTCTTGGGGGTGTCGTGTGGAGATAAATTCACCAGTATTTTGTAGGTGATATTGCCATTTTTTAAAACTGTATTGTAACTATTTGTATACATAGTGTGATAGCATTTAGTGATGACCAGGAATGGAATCTAGAGCTTTTTAGCTAAGTGTTTACGTGTGTCCCAATAAGTGTTGATGTTATTTTCAATCTATCATGTATTGATTTGTAATCCAGAGTATTTGTTCAGTAAACGAATAATTCTACATGTGTAGATATGACACTGCACGTTTTAAAAACAAAAAATGTAGTTTTTTGCTAATAAAGTCTTATTTTACATAGTTGATTGAAGGCTGTTCAACATTAGCACAGTTGAGACATTATTCCTGTATGATATTCATCTTATAATCACATTAAATCTCGAGATGAAATTTTAACGACAATCCACCGTAATCATTTGTTTGTAAAACTAGCTCAATGTACTCATTTATTTTAACACATAGATATTGGTACAAGGAGGCACCAAATACATATGCGCCACACAAATCTCATTCTATATATGTGAGGGCTGTGATACTGTCCGGGTGCCCAAACCGAAACAGGTGGTTATCTTAGGGGGCCACACCCCGAGCCTTCGACCTGAAGGTCTGATCCACAAGGCAGTGGAGCATCGTAAGGAGATATAGTCCCATGGCAGTCGGTGACCAACAATTAGTTCATAAAGAAAGAACGAATTGAGCGAAGAAATTTCTTTTCAATTATTTTTTCATCATGGCTCTACACTAATATATATACGTTTTACAATAATAATATAATACTCATCGAGTGGATACGTTACGTAATAATTACATAATGACATTTAAATTAACATTCAGTAATTGGAAGAGAGAGGATTATTAATATTCAAAGTAATCGAGAAGTTGCTATGTTGCGTAATATAAGAAACAAAGAAGGAATAGAATTTTACCGGATGGTCAGTAGGATAGTAGTTACGTAAGAATCAAGAGATGAATGTTGAGAAGTTATAAGGCTCAAAAGCGATAGAAACAAAATTACAAAAATTTTAAAATAAATAAAAATAAAAATGGAAGAAGTATGAAAAATAGTTCTTCTGACGGAAATGTTATACTGAAGGCCAGGGGAGAGAAAGTGGTTGTACGAATTTCTTTTGGATGCAAAGGTCAGGTTTGTGAACATGAATTGCGGAAGCCATCGCAACATAGCAACTTCTTGATTACTTTGAATATTAATAATCCTCTCTCTTCCAATTACTGAATGTTAATTTAAATGTCATTATGTAATTATTACGTAACGTATCCACTCGATGAGTATTATATTATTATTGTAAAACGTATATATATTAGTGTAGAGCCATGATGAAAAACTAATTGAAAAGAAATTTCTTCGCTCAATTCGTTCCTTCTTTATTTACCAAATGGCAAAATAGGAATTTTCACTATATTGAAATTAGTTCATACGCCATTTGTTCCCGCAGGATACTGGAGCCCATGTGCACCATTGGTTTGGAATCGAGTTAAAGCGCCGGACATTCGCTTTTCGTCCTCTTATTTTCGTAAACAACACCCTCGCCACGAGGAGGCAGTGAGTAGGACTTCCCTGGTAGAGGCTATATACGCGTGGCCATGTGAGAGCATTTCGATAGGGAGAGCGGACTCTCGGCCGGTTTAGTTCAGATTATCAAATCATTTTGTGGTCTATCGAACAACTGTCGTTGACAAACGCTACATCTAAACATATTATGATGCTGTGTTTTCTTAAAGTGATCACATTTTCATACAACGAAATAAGAAAAAAATGGGTGGTGGCTAGCAGTGGAATCTAAGACGCGCGTTTCGTCCTATTCGGGACTCGCCAACTGGATGTATCTGCATCCCATACTTGGTGTTCACTCCAGGACTCGAACCCAGCACTGTTCTTTTCGAACACCATCGCGTTATCCACTTAGCTACTGAGCCCAGACAGCCACTAGCTTGTGCTGGTATGTCCGGCTGACGAGTCCCAAATAGAACGAAACGCGCGTCCTGGATTCCACTGCTAGCCATCATCCATCTTTGCTTATAATGCTTGTAAATTAAGGCAATATCGAGGCGATTCGCACAGGATGCGCATATGCTAATAAGAGACTGATCATTTGCAGTCCTAAAATCAATAGGAAGATTGAAACAAACAATACAAAATGAATTAATACAACGAAATGTATATAATGAGCATGCAATTAGCGATAGAATAGCTTTATTTGAGATCATTAACCGATCAATGTTAGACTACCATCAAAAACCTGGAGGTGCTGGACGGCCGTTTCGTCTTGGTGTGGGACTCCTCAGCAGTGCACGTCCGCAATCCTGCACGTGGGGTTCGGACCCAGGACCTTCGGCCCCGCGCCCCAACGTTTAAACTCTAGACCACTGGGCGGGCTTCCAGTGGCTTTAATGTCTAACTTCAACCAACCCATGATATTGCGCAACCATCTTCCATTGTCTTCGGTAGGTAAATGTCTCTCACCGAGGTTTTTTAGTGGTGGTCTGACATTGATCGATTCATGATCTCAATCAAAGCCTAACAATTCACGCAACCATATACTGAGAATAGCTTTAATTGTTACCTCCAAATATAATTATCGTTTATGAAATAAAATCCATATCATACACCATTTCCACCTTCGATACACAAGACAATACCTAAACCTGTTACTCATTTCTGTTTTCCTTATTTACCTTTTCCACTTTTCATTTCTGCAGTTTTTTTGGTATTTGGGTAACGTGTTCAGTCAAAACGAAGGTGTTAAAACATCTCCCTAATAAGCTGATGCTGCAGTTCAGGATACCGCTTCCGGTCATTGGCTACAAAAAAAATTGGAAGTGGAGTTACTTCTTTTCCTTTAACAAAGATTTTGATGACCGTAACTTCGTGATGCATATCCCTTTATAAGTAGTAAAATTCCTGCTTACTTGTTCTATAAATTCCTTTTTTTATTCCATACCTAGACTAATTTACTACTTTGATCAGTTTCAATTTTTTAACGTTAAATAAATGGTGTATGTTCGTTTTTATTGTTGAGGTTGTTTGCGTGAGCGTTTAAAACAATTATGCAAGTGGTTATATAATTGATTCCTTTCGGATTGTTTTATCCATGGGGTTTTCTGTTCCCTGAATAATAAAAATTCAGTATACCCTTCGTCCATACATACGTTTTTTTTGTTTCGTCTTTAACCGATGTGTACTGATTTCAAACAAGCTCCCCGTTTTTATGGTATCACCTAATCGATTCAGTTTATGACTTCATGATTCAGTGAAAATCACTAACCATGCAAAATAGTCATTGTGCATCGGGGGTTACAGGGTGTTACAGAATCTAAACCAAATAATAATACTTAAAGTTATGGCTCTTTTCCGGTAGTTTTTTTAGGAATCGTGATACGCATTTTCATATAATAAATTTTACCGCCAAACTCATAAATGATATGATCCAAATTGGTGCAGATATGTAACTTACTGGATTAGCGAGGTGATAATACTTGTTTTTACTAAAGAGACGACTAGTTGTTTGGGACGATAATTTGGCATTCGAAACGGACAAACACCAATCCATCATAGATCTGAGACAGTCCGTCTTGCAGTTAGCTCAAACTAGGTATCAAAGAGTTTCGCACATTACGTAATTACTTTTCCTCCTAGCTATTTCCGTTTGTTGGTATTTTAAGCTTGTTCAACATTTTATTATCGTTGGTATTACTATTGAAGGTATATTCTATACTGCGTGTCACTCATGATACAATAGACTTTATCACACCTATTTTTCGAATTCTCATCCCCTATGTTGACAATCGTGACTGTACATCTGTCGGTGAAATGCATTTTCGCTAACATACATGTAAGCTGACATGCACTTAACGTCGGAAGACATTTTTAGTCGCCGAAATTTATTAACGTGAAATGAAGTTGAAAAGTCAATGAGTTTTACAAACGGTTAGTTTTCTATTACTTCATAATATTGACAGTTCACTTTTACTCATTATGTAACTATACAGTGCAACATGGATAGAAATAATCCCGAGTTAAGTGGCATATTTGTTTAAACATTTGTACACAAGAATAACTCTGTGGTACATTAACGTTATCACTAAGTAAACATTGTAGAACGAAGTATACAATCTGGGAATCAGTGACTAGAACTAGTTACAAAAGAGCAAAATCGTGGTGAGAAAATTTAACTCAATTCACAATCATCCTTCTAATGAAAAGTATTTACATAATGCATGGCTTCGAGGACTTTGCAAAATCGGATTGCAACACCTCAATCTCCCTATTTTGGGGAAAAGCTATCAAAACCCCGAAAATTTTAAGTTATTTTGTGTAAATTTTGATTTTCCTCTAATATTTCCGAAAACTTTGGGGAAACCAATTCATATTCTTTGATAAAACCCCAAAAACTCCTCAACGTTTTGGCGAAATCATTGAGAACTAATCAGAACTTTCGCCGTATTTAGACATTTTTCTTTTTTACTTGTAGTTCATTTTGCAAATTCAACACAATTCTAAAACTCATGCCTATATTCTTCATATAAATGTTTATGTTGCCGTTCCAACTGATTTACTTTTAACGAAATCTCATTCTCTACTTCTTAAAATTCTTGAAGAGAAGTTAAAATACCGGCCAGTAGTGATTCCACAGAACAAGCTGTATCGAAGCATTTAACCAACGTCCATGAAAGTCCTTTTAGTTGAATCTGAAGTGGTCGGTCAGTTAGATCGAACGCAACCACAATATAATTCTTCTACTTTGACATTTGTCAGTGATTTTCCAATGACCAAACCAAGTTCGACTTCATGATGGACTTCCCCGGTCCCATTTGGCAACTTCATTTCTACCCTTTCAACTATGCATCTAGGTTTTAAAAAGATTCAACTTTATTCCCTAGTATTTTTGCATGGTCTGCATGGTTTCGTCCGGCGCTTTAACTGAGCCGGTGGACACGGTGAGTCCATCTAGGGGAGTTGGGAAACCCTGATCCCAAACCAATGGTGCACATGGGCACCAGGATCCTAAGGGAACCAATTGTTGGTCACCGACTGCCATGGGACTGCATCTCCTCACGATGCACCACTGCCTTGTGGGTCAGACCTTCAATTCAAAGGCTCGAGGAGTGGCCCCCTAAGAAAACCACCTGCTTCAGTCTTGGCACCCGGGCAGTATCATAACCCTTACACAATTAAAATGAAATGACAGCGGTTATTGGTTATAATACTCGCACTCCTATTACAATTCAAATAACCCATAACCATTTGGTAACCTTCACTTTCATTTTTTATGTACTACGTCACTTATCCATTCACTTCCATTCTCACCTTGCATATCCTTACTTTTCAACTTATACAGCAGCTCGCTTATGCTGGAAATTATTTCTATCTAAACGATCTCGAGTCACTGACTGGTTGAGAATTGTATGTTACCACCGAATATAAATACTGAAGCAGTTTTTCTGAAACCACGTGCACCATTCAAACTGGCTACCTTCAACGTTCGCACATTTATGCAGGTCGGACAACAGATAGGGCTGGTTATGCTTTGGAAAGTCTTAGTATCGATGTTTGATGTCTATCCGAGACCCGTATTCAAGATTCTGGTAAAGTACTACAAGTTCGCTCTACATCTGTCGTTTCGAAAAGCTTGTTTTAAATGTGCTTATCCGGGGACCCTGTGGCATCTTCGTCTGGTCTTGCTGGCGTCACTGTCGCACTAAGCGCTAGAGCTGAGGCAGCACTAATCAATTGGATCCCCATTAACAGTCGGTTATGTGCTGTTCGATTAGAAAGTTCCATCAAAGTGAGAAGAAATCGGTGTGAGAAACGGTGTCTTTACGTCATCTCCGCCTATGCCCCGACAGATTGCAGCCCGGATGCAATCAAAGATGAGTTTTACCACCAGTTATCTGTTCTTCTCCAGAAAGTGCGTTCGACAGATATTGTGGTACTAGCCGTAGACTTGAATGCTCAGGTCGGGCGTCTAGGCACAGAAGAGAGTCGTTTAGGTGGCCGATGGGGACTCGTTGGTCGCAGGTCAGATAAAGGGGACCGTCTACTGCAAATATGCACAGACCACAACCTGTTTCTGGCTAGCACTAACTTTCGGCACAGTAATCGCCGATGTGCCACCTGGCGTTCTCCCTCTGCATATCAAGCCTGGACTCTGATCACATCACGATCAGCTACCGCTGGCGTGGTTGTGTACAAGACTGCCGCTCCTTCTGGAGTACCTATCTGGACTCTGATCATGCCTTGGTCTGCGCCAATCTTATCTTACTTTTCAGTGGACAACGAAGTGACCGCCATCAACGGATTGATATTAGCAAGCTGGTCGCAACTTCTGTGGCAAGTAAGTATCGAACTGAGCTAGCTTCTAGGCTAGCTATCATTCCACCGAAAAGTATAGATGAACATTGATTTCAACTTCATGACACCATGAAAATGGAAAGTAAAACCGCTTGCGGCTGCACGAAACGTCCCGCCTGTAAGCACCGGGTTTCTTCTGGTTCCTTACAACTCGTCGAATCCCGTCGATTCACTTCGGGTGACCGTGAGTTTGACCATAAACGAAGGATGTTACGTAATGAAACCAGGAAAAGCTTGCGTAAGGACCGAGAAGCCTGGTAATTTAAGCGTACCAATGATTTAAAAGCAGAAGCTACATCTGGTAACTACCAGAAGCTCTTCCAATTCATCTGGGTCACTGACAGCAAGAAGTCTGATTTAACGAAACAATCTATGAAAATGACGGGATTCCAATCACTAACATCCATCGACGTCTTAGACGATGGGCAGAATTCTCCGAAGGGCAGTTCAACTGGCCTGCTGCTCCGGCAACATCGGTCGAACCGTCCTGTCCTCCATGGCCCGCGACGAGTGATCCACCAAATGAGGCGGTAGTCTGCAAGGAACTCCAACTCTTGAAACGCTACAAATCACCTGGCCCAGATGACTTACCTCCGGCTCTTTTTAAAGGTGATGGTAGATTTCTGATTAGAGAACGGACTACGTTGTTTACATCCTCAAAGCCCTATATACAAACACCTCAGGTAGTGAGGGCATACAGCCACCTTTCTCAATTCTTCCATTCAGGCTGTGTGGTTAGACATGGTTGCACAGTTTCACTGTTCCTCTTTGACTTTGTCATCGACGGTGTTGCAAAAATAACTCTTATGTCTGTAGGCAGTAGTTGTGTGGATCTGTTGTCTGGGAAAAACGTTCCGACCTGGAGTATGCGGATGATGTTGTCTTACTGTGCGACGTTACCGCAGCCACACAACCGGCACTTAACCGGTTGGCGGATAGTGTCCCCAGGTATGATATGTGCTTTGCACCTTCCAAGTGCAAAGTCCCTTTACAAGACTGGCAGGATCCTAATCCTGCACTCACTCTAAATGGTAAACAGATAGAAGTAGTCGAGAAGTTCGTGTATCTGGGTAGCTGCATAAATGCTGGTGGTGTGAGTGATGAGATCAATTCACGTATATTGAAAGCCAGAGCGTCTTATGTCCATCTAGGCCATCTTTGGCGCCTTCGTGATGTCAGTCTAGCTGTAAAAGGTCGGATCTACAACGCGTCGGTGAGAGCAGTTTTGCTCTATGCTTGTGAAATCTGGACTCTCCGAGTTGGGGATGTTAGACGACTCTTTGTTCCTAATCTTCGTTGTTTCCGAAGAATTACTGACATCCAGTGGCAACACCATGTTAGTATTGCAGACGTTTGGCATCGTGTGTTCAGGCACAGAGATGATAATTCAATTGGTGTCACCATCTTGAAACATCGGCATCGGTGTCTTGGACATGTTCCACGAATGTCGTCTCAGAGAATTCCACGTCGTGCATTGTTTGCGGACACCAGGACTGATTGGAAAAAGCTGAGAGGTGGTCAGTGCACGACATGGTGTCGTGGTATGAAAAAAAGCTGGGCAGGACCGACTACTGTTGGTCCTTCACGATTCCCTTGTTGGGGTCCGAGAGACGGTGCAACACAATGGCTAGAGACGTTATCAGATGTGGCTCAGGATAGAAGCCAGTGGTGATCCTGTTGTAACCTTCTTTTAGTTTCTTCCTTAACTGATAGAACTCTTTCTGGTCGTACCTTTTTATTTCCCCCATTATTATTATTATTACACTAACACACATTGATCTGTGGTCGCTACT